CTCACCCGCCCCTGCTCTCTCTCGCCCGCCCCTGGTCTCCCTCCCCCGCCCCTGGTCTCCCTCGCCCGCCCCTGGTCTCCCTCACCCGCCCCTGCTCTCCCTCGCCCCTGCCTCACCCGCCCCTCTCCCTCACCCGCCCCTGCTCTCCCTCACCCGCCCCTGCTCTCCCTCACCCTCCCCTGCTCTCCCTCACCCTCCCCTGCTCTCCCTCACCCTCCCTTGCTCTCCCTCACCCTCCCCTGCTCTCTTTCGCCCGCCCCTCGTCTCCCTCACCCGCCCCTGCTCTCCCTCGCCCTTCCCTGCTCTCCCCTCGCCTGGTCCCCTCACCCGCCCCTGGTCCCTCACCCGCCCCTGCTCTCCCTCACCCGCCCCTGCTCTCCCTCACCCGCCCCTGCTCTCCCTCACCCGCCCCTGCTCTCCCTCGCCCGCCATCTCCCTCACCCGCCCCTGCTCTCCCTCGCCCTCCCCTGCTCTCCTTCGCCCTCCCCTGCTCTCCTTCGCCCTCCCCTGCTCTCCCTCGCCCTCCCCTGCTCTGCTCTCCCTCGCCCTCCCCTGCTCTCCCTCGCCCTCCCCTGCTCTCCCTCACCCGCCCCCTATCACTAGCTTGCCCACCCCCCTCCCCTGCATCCCCGTCCACCTCCCTCACTCGCATGCAAGCCCCGCGGGTTAACAGGCACGAACAACCCCCCCCCTCCCCCTCCCTACTAGTAAGCAAACACGCTAACTAGTGCTTGCTATATGGAGAGAAAGATCTGGGTGTTGGTATCACGCCGAACCTGTCCCCAGAAGCCCACATCAAAAGGATATAATCAGCTGCATATGCTAGATGGGCCAACATAAGAACTACCTTTTATAAATTTGCGTAAAGGAATCATTCAGAACCTTGTATACCACTTATGTCAGACCAATCCTAGTGTATGCAGCTCCAGCCTGGAGTCCATGCCAAGTTAAACACAAGACAAAGTTCAAGAAGATTCAGAGGTATGCCACCAGACTGGTCCCGGAACTGAGAGGGGTATGAACTATGAGGAAAGGCTACGGGAGCTAAACTTCACGTCCCTGGAAGACAGAGAAATGGGAGATATGATCAATACCTATAAAATTCTCAGGGGGAACTGACAGGGTGGGCAAAGACAAACTATTTAGCACGGGTGGGACACGAACAAGGGGACACAGGTGGAAACTTAGTACCCAAATGAGCCAGAGAAACAATTTTTTTTTTCAGTGTCAGAGTAGTTAATAAATGTAATGCACTAGTCAGTGATGTGGTGGAGGCTGACTCCATACACAGTTTCAAATGTAGATTTGATTGGATTCTTCAGCCCAATAGGCTCAAGAATCTGTACATCAGTTGACTGACAGTTGAAAGGTGGGATCAAAGAGCCAAAGCTTAATCCCCAGCATGCACAACAACTAGGCGAGTATACGGCCACCCCCTCGCTCACCCGCGCCCCCTCCCCTACCCACTCCCCTCCCCTGCCCTCTCCCCTACCCTGCCCACTCCCCCGTCCCCTAGCCTGTGTGCTCAAAACCCCCCTTGCACTTATGCTTTTAAGGACAGCAAGCAGTCAGATGTTTTGAACTGGAGGAATGTAACCAGTGGGATCCCACTAGGTCCACTAGTGGTCCTTGGACCACTACTGTTATTAATTTATGTGAACAACATATGCGTGCGAATAAGCTCATGCATGTCATTGTTTGAGCCCGTCCTCTGAGCAAATCCATTACCATGAGCATCAAAATGTCCCATCAAACCACCTAGATAGTTGCAGGTATGTAACGTCATATTTGTGATCTGAAACAGCCCCATGAAACAGCTGTATCCGACTTGAAAAACCCACCATGGACATTCCCCCGACGCACTTATTCCAGAGGAACCTCCAAGTGACTGCTGGATAGAAGCAGCCAGCGGAGAATCCACCCACCTTGACAGAGTGCAAGACTAGAACCCAGTGTGTAGAAAATCTCTGAGAAAGATGAAAAAACTGTGGAAACGAGTGATTGTCCCACACGACCAGATCGGCGGATTCTAAATAAACCCTGAAGACACAACGTCACAGATCCCCCACACCCGGTGCCCCCTTCTTGGATTTTCCTTACCACAAATTTCTTCAATGTCTACCACAGACCCCTGCCCCGGCACCCGGCAACACAAGCCTCTAGCTGGGAAACCCGTGGCTCGACCTCAAACCTAAACCCCCAGAGGTCATCCTCCACCCCTGACCCCCAGACCTGCCTACAAACCAGCCCGTCTCCCCCTTGGCCTCAGAAATTGCCATCCCGGCGACAAGTCCAACAAGCACGCAAGCCTCCCATGATGACACAACCCCAGATTTTCGGGATATCAGTCCTCAAGTGCCTTTTGTGACTGCTTTAGCGGACGACCTGACAGTCCAACCCCCGGATGCATGGCAACCCCTGATCGAGGAACTCGGTAGGCGTCCGACCCTGGCCCCAGCCATGGGCTCCCTTCCGGGCATCTGGAAGGAGGCACGAGTCCGGCGCGGCCTGGGGGAGAAAGCCCTTGGCTTCCTCCCGTTTCTCCCCCCCCCTAGGGACCTAGAAGAAGAATCTGATATCATGTTTCAGGTGTCTCTGCTAGGTGGGCAAACCAGAGGAGACAATAGGTAAAATCTTGCGGGAGGCCCACAAGAGACAGACCCTGGCCACCTGTGCAGCCCCTACCACTCCTTTCTCTAACAAACTCCATATCAGGTCTAACAGAGAACTAGAGCCTTACTCAAACTTTAGGAAAAACCCCGGCAACGAAACCGCGGCTGCCCCCAGCCCCAGACCCAACAACCAGTGACACCTCGACGGCCCCAGGCCCCAACAAACCGAGGTGCCCAGAGGAGAGTTAGCCTCCCGTGGGAGTTCCCAACTGGCCATATAAACCACAGGTCCAGAACACCGACGACGAGACCTCGCTCCCGGTCCTCACCTAGACACCCCAGGGACCCCTCCCAAACTCCCTCTCCACACATGAGGGGTCAGCCAACAGCAGGAACCAGCCCTGGACCGCAACACAGGACAGACGCAGTTCGGGATCCGACGCAGAAGCCTCGGCAAGAGGAACCGGCTCGAATGCCTGTCCCCAACCTGAACGGGGCAGCCCCTGAAGCTGCCCTAGTCTCATTACCAACTAAATCTCGCTCCGACTCCAAAACCCTCAGACGTTTGAGAGCCGAAAGCTGGGGGGTGGGGGGGGGGTTGCAGGGTGAACAACAGGGGAAGGACCAAGAAGCATGGACTGAACCAAAGTCGAAGCGACTAACGCCCCTAAATCTGAGTCCTTATGACCAAAACGAAGCAGTCTTGGGACATCCAGGTGGGCAACCAACCTAGCACGTTCCAGCAACCTAAACCTAACATGCAATGAGGATGCTGCTTGTACCTGAATATCAATGTTATCAGAATAGGTAAACTAGAGAACATTTCGCAAGACTCTGGGTCAAAGGTGTCGTTGACCCAACAGGCAGCATGATAGAGGCAGAAGCTGTGACTGTCACCCTGAGACAAGGGCGCACAGCAATCATCAAACTCATACGAGGCGAGCTGGAACTCAGACGACACATCCATAGGTCCACTAATCCCCGATAGGGTTTTCCAGGGCCTGTAGGCTGACTGTTATGGGAAACCCGGGCAAGGTGTTGCTAACAGGTTAAGCCCGAAGCTAACAAGGGGGAGATCAAATGCTGAAACCCCCTGCAATGTGTACAATCCCGAGGGGCCTAGCAGAGGGCCACCAAATTATTATAAGTGGTCCAATAGCCACACCAGGCAGACCCCCACCAGGCAAAGCAAACAAAAAGAAAAGAAATATCCAGCAAAAGTACAGCATCCCCAAAGGAAACAGGAACCAGCCGCTGCATAGGTAACTGGCTGTGCAACCCCTATATGTCCCAACCAGCAACAATACCACTCTTTATCCAAGGCCAAACAATGACTGACCACAAAACCCCAGCTGGCCCCAAGGGCGGGGTAAATGTCGAGGAGCAAGAACCCCTATGGAAATGGCTTCCGGAATGCACCAGGGGGGAAAAGAACCCTGACACTCAAGGGTAGTATACTCACAAGGTACTTGGGGAAGGCTGCCCTAGGCACATGCATCCCCAGTACATTTCAGGTACACCAGGCCACCACTCCACGAACAGCAGGGGACACCACTAAGGCAAAACACTGCATAGGGAATAAAGGCTATAGATGACGACCGCCCTGGATTGCATTAGCCGTCGAACTGGAATGGCTAGGTCGGCGGTGCATCGGTTTCAGGGTTCCCTCCTCCCGCTGGTGGGGGAGGGGGGCACGGCTGCATGGATGAGCTACACGGTGGTGGAGTGTGACTTTTGCTTGTTTCCTTGGGATTGGAGGATGTTCTGCCTCTTCGGTTTTTGGTTGCCATTATCTTGCTATGTGGAATCTGTTTTCTTATGCCTACCTTTCTGGGTGCCTAACCCCGGTTGATGGCAGATAAGGAAATCTCCCAACCATAGGGGGGTTTTCCCAGGGCCATTGCTCACTTTGTCTCTCTGAGGGGGGGGGGGAGCAAGTTCTGGTTTGTGGTACAATACCCGGTAGGCTGAGCTCCTATGACTAATGCCCTGGTCTAATGAAATGCATAAGCCCAATAGTTCCCGGAAACCGAAGGGGCTCCCCCACAGAAAAAATGTATATTGAGTTGTTTGTTTTATATAATAATAATAATAATAATAATTTTTATTTAGGTAAGGTACATACATAAAGAGATTTTACAAAGTTTGTTGGCTTTATAGATAGAGCTAGTACATACAATGCCTAAAGCCACTATTACGCAAAGCGTTTCGGGCAGGAAACGCATATCGGGCATATCATTGGAAAGAGCAGAAAAATTGCCATCCTATTGAGCATAACACAATTAACATTTTAAATTTAAATTGTGTACTGTAGATCTCCATTAAAATTTAGTGCTTTGACTTTAGTAAATACTGTACCAGGTATAATCAATGTTTATTTCTGAACAGGTTCCTGGGAATCTACCTGAATAAGAAAAAATAATTACATATTCTACTGGGAAGAAACTGGCTGGCTTGGCACTTACAAGAGCTATGAAATGAAGACAGGAATACTTGCAAAACACAAATACCATAAGAATTTTACATATTTTCTCATAAATATGAGTCTTCTTATAAAGAACTATGGATGCCAGTGATGCTGCCTTCACATCACTGTACTACCAAACCTCTAATTTGGCTCTCCAATGCAAAGAAATACTTATAAATCCTTAGATTAACAGTATTAATACAGCCTTACTTCGCTAACAGTTCAGTTAACAAAAACCATATTTTTAACTTGTAGTTCCAACAGCAGTACAGTATTAATGATTATTATGGCACCAGAGCCACTCGTAGCATCACCCAATGCTAAATGTTTTGCAACTTCCGTGTTCTTGATGTGTTTTGGTGTTCATGCTGCATTCGTGGTGGCTGCAAGTCATCAACTCGGTGACACTGTGGTTGAAAGTTCAGGTTTAGGCACTGAAGATGTAAGAGCTGGTTTATGGCTGCCCATAAATAGTTGGCAACATTTCGAGGAAAATTTAAAAAATCGACAATTAAGAATACAGATAATAAACGATGTAGCTCTAAGCATTACAGAGAAAAACATGACAGTTAGAGATGAGAAGAGTGAGAGAGAAAAAGATAGGATAAATAAGGCAGAAAATAATAAAGCAAAAGAGGAGGTGATGCCATTTAAAGATGAAGCAAAAAATTTTACCGAGGATTATGTGGCAAAAATTCAGCCTAGCTCAACTGTCCAAAAGATAAAACCTCCACAAATACAAACATCAGGTAAGCTAAATTCAGATAACATTACAGTATTTAAATTGATCTTACATTCAATTATTCAAACAAAAATGCAGCATTATATAATTAAAGGAATATACAGTACTAATTAAGAGTTCACCCCATTATACCTATAGAAACTTTTAGCTGAATTATTCTGAGTTTTGCGTATTAGGGGGCTTTAATTAATATGCAACCTCTGTACTTTCAATAGCTCTGTATTATGTTATGTATACTTATTTCAGCCCATCCTTCTGTCTAGATTATACTTATAGTAACAATGCGGATTATCATACATATTTTGACATAATGGACGATTAGACAGTAGAATTTGTTACTACTGAATTTGAACAAACTGGAAAAGATTTTGTATTTGTTGCTAATGAAACCTAACCTAACCATCCTAGGCCTAATGTATGCTATCTTTTATTTATTTATTTATTTATTTATTTATTTATTTATTTATTTATTTGTTTATATATATATATACAAGAAGGTACATTGGGTTTGTGAGAATACATTGGATAGTACAGTATGTATTTACATTCTTGTAAAGCCACTAGTACGCGCAGCGTTTCGGGCAGGTCCTTAATCTAGCAGATAATTTTAAGTAGGTAATTTCTATCAGAATTGATAAATGATAAAGATACATTGCAAGAGAAAAATGAGATGAGAGAGCTTAGTAAGTATATTAAAGCACATTGTTATATTAAAGCTCTGATTGATTACATTGACAGCTTGATTAGTAATTTAAACAAGATTAATAGACACCATACAGCAGATTGACAGCACATAAGACAGCAATGATCACAATGGTAAAGATGTTCAGATTGGGTACATAAAGATTGGGAGACTGGGTAGCAAAAGATACAGATAAACAAGATTTATAAACACCATACAGCAGATTGACAGCACATATAAGAAGACAGCAATGATCACAATGGTAAAGATGTTCAAATTGGGAACATACAGGTTGGGAGATTGGGTAGCAATAGATACAGTGCAATTTTAAGGCAAAAAGTGAATAACTATGAAGATGAAATTAGGTACAGTACTTAGGAAATTAGGTATCTGAGGCCTAATACAGTATAGTAAATATATGTGCTATACTAAACCTAGGAATATTTAAGCTTGGTTTTAGCTTGATTTTTCCAGACTCTATAAAGTGAATACAGTACTATAGTACCAAGTTGTACTATCTAAATGTTCATTACATTAATGTGTGTTCGATGGTCTACATAGTTACAAAAAATACTATTTAAACAGGAGGATGGGTTGATATTTTATTAATGAATTACAGTACTGTATTATTATTATTATTATTATTATTTGTAATTTTAAGGTGCTTTTCATCATGTGTAATTTACCTTCCAGGATGGTTTTTTGACAGAGAAACTGTAGACGTTTTGACTATGCCTTACTTCTTCCCATCTGAGCCAACGTTGAGGGATCCGTACATTCTACGCCAACACTTGGTATGTTCACATTACAGTATATTTTAGATAATGAAAAGACTGGACTAGAAACTATTATTCTATTCAGATTTTTACTTAATATTTTTTTATCTTGATATCATTGATAAGGGAAAATAGTTCTTGGAGATCTGTTATTACTGAAAACTGAATGATATAACTTCCACCAGTCTCCGTGGTGTAGTGGTAAGACACTCGCCTGGCGTTCCGCGAGCGCTTTGTCATGGGTTCGTATCCTGGCTGGGGAGGATTTACTGGGCGCAAATCCTTAACTGTAGCCTCTGTATAACTCAACAGTAAAATGTGTACTTGGTTGTAACAACGATTCTTCGCGGCGGGGATCGTATTCCAGGGACCTGCCCGAAACGCTACGCGTACTAGTGGTTATCTTGAGGTTATCTTGAGATGATTTCGGGGCTTTAGTGTCCCCGCGGCCCGGTCCTCGACCAGGCCTCCACCCCCAGGAAGCAGCCCGTGACAGCTGACTAACACCCAGGTACCTATTTACTGCTAGGTAACAGGGGCATTCAGGGTGAAAGAAACTTTTGCCCATTTGTTTCTGCCTCGTGCGGGAATCGAACCCGCGCCACAGAATTACGAGTCCTGCGCGCTATCCACCAGGCTACGAGGCCCCACGTGGCTGTACAAGAATGTAACAACTCTTGTAAATATCTAAAAAGAAAACTTGGTTGATTCACATTCTATTAGTGACAGACTGACTTTGGAAAGCAGCCTGAGAAAACAATCTTTTCTGTGAATGAATGAATTAATTGATGATATCATTGAATCTTATGAAACATATATCAATGAAAATCATTTTGAGTAATGGAGTGACTTGAATTTGTGACCTGGTGATTCCCAGACGCCTGCTTTGACTGCTTGGCCACGGTGGTCCAAAAGTTGACCAAAGAATGAACCGAGACGGCCTGTCTCGGTTCATTCCCCTGTCCACGGAATGAACGGTTGACTCGGACTCCTTTCGTTGGCTCTGCAGGATGTATGTACTCCCGGACATTGACTTGTTCGTGTCGGTGGGGTTTTGGCATCTCCCTGTCTATGTGGCGCCCTTCCCAGGCTGTGAGGCTGTCGCGGTGGATGTCTTTCGGCACAACTGGTCGAGGTGGGGTTACCTGTACCTCTTCCCCCCAGTCCAGTTGTTATTCGGATTCTGGCTCGATTGGAGTCCTACCAAGGGAGAGTAGTCCTCATGGCCCCTTGGTGGCCAGCCCAGCCTTGGTTCCAGGTGCTGCTTGCTCGACTTGCGAACCCGGGATGATTTCTGCGGCTCTGCCTCTTCCAGCAGGTCGGCCTAGTCTGGTACATGGCTGGTTCAGTCTTCTCCTCTGTTCTTTGCGTCTTGTCTTTGATGCGGGTTTATCACCATCTGTATGGTGATCAGGTGGCTTCATTGATGGTATCCCACCTGCTAGCTTCGTCTCGATGACAGTTTGAAGTTTCCTGGCGGTCTTTCCACCATTTTCTCTCTTCATAGGTTGTATTCTATTTCTGATCAGGTTGTCTTGTCCTTTCTGTCTTGGCTAATTCAGGACCGTCATTTGATGCCTAATACTGTCGCCCTGTATCGTGCGGCGCTAGCGGAGCCTCTCCAGCTTGTGTTCGGGGTGGATGTTACTTCTGCCCTGTTCCGTAAGCTTTCTTGTGCTTTGTTTCACCTCTGGCCTGCTCATGTGTCACCTGAGCCGTCCTGGTCTTTGGACAGGGTGCTCTCCTATCTTTTCTCTCCTTGGTTTGTGATGGCCCCTTCGGTTCAAGATTGTTTTTCCAAGGCTCTGTTTCTGTTGGCATTGGCTTACTGGGGTCGGGTCGGTGAGGTTCATGCTCTCCTCCGGCACAGGGATTTCTGCTCTTTGTGGTCCTGGTGGTCGGTTTGTTCAGTTGCAGCCTTCTTCTTTTCTGACAAAGAACGAGACAGCTCCTTTCCGGAGGAGTCCTTGGATCATTGAGACTTGGTTGGTCAGGCCGGGGGTGCATCATATCTTGTCCGGTTGCGACTCTTCACCGCTATCTGTGCGCTTTGGCTTCTGTGGTTGGGGATGCGCTTTGGGTTGATCCGGTTTCCTTCATTCCCTATTCCAGGGCTAGGGTCTCCCATGTCGTCCGCAGGGTTATTAAGTCTATCCTCGTTCTTATGATAGGAAGTTTGCTGCATTGGTGGCCATGTTTGGCAACATGTCTTAGGCTGATATTCGGGCGTGGGGTATTTGGAGGTCAAACAGAATCCTGGCCACCTGTTATTTGGTTAATGTTCCTGCTCCTGGGCATTCCTGTGTTGCTTTGGGTCGCTGGTTGAAGCCAGTTGTCTTAACTTCATGTTGAGGAGTATGTGGTAGCTGCCTCCCAGGTAAGTTCCTTTTTTCCTTTGGGTATGTAGCTCCAGAGAGCCATAGGGATTACCCACAGAAAACCAGCGTTTAAAGAAATACCATTTTTCTAGGTGAACCTCGGAGGCTCCCTGGCACCCCTCCCTCCCTCTCTCCGGTTGGCAGTTTTTCACATTGTTTGATGCTTAGCTTCCGAACTGGAGTGCTAGGTAGCTTGCATGGGGAGGGGAAGGCTGCACGGATGAGCGGCACGACGGTGGAGTGTAGTGTTTGCTTATTTCCTTGTTTCGTTGGGATGGGAGGGAGTTCTGCCTCTCTTTTCGGTTTTTAGTTGTAATTTTCTTACCATGTGGGGTTTGTTTTGTTATGCCTACCTTTCTGGGTGTCTAACCCCAGTCGATGGCAGATAAGGAAAACCCCCAACCACAGGGGGGTTTCAAAGGCCATTGCTCCCTGAACCTCTCTGAGGGGGGGCCAGGTTCTGGCTTGTGGTCCCCTGTAGACTGAACTCCATAGGCCCTGGTCTAATATATTGCACATTAGCTCGATAACTCCAAGGAGCCTCCGGGGCTCACCCAGAAAATGGCATTTCATTACATTCAATGCTGGTTGTTTATAGAATATGGATAATACATTCATCCATATAGAGCTGCTTTTATGATAAACTAAACTGCACCTTTTTCAGACTGACAAGAATGACATAGTGATGTTGGAGTTCCAAGTGGAAAACTACCACTTGGTGCTTGACCTCCACCCCACCAGGTAACACTTTATTTCATCTTGATGTTTTTGTTTACAAAGAAGGCACATAAGGTTTTTGTAAACCTTTTAAGTATATACATACAGTATATTTCAGTGGATTGTTACAATTTAGTTTATAACAATAAGCCTAAAGTGTATACAGATTTAAAGCCTAGATTTACGATGGTAATCCATTCCCAGAGACGCATTGTAAGTCGAAATATCGTAAGTCGAAGCGATTTTTCCCATAAGAAATAAAAGGAATTGAATTAATCCGTTCCACACCCCCAAAAATATTAACTTAAAAATACATTATATACTGAATACAATTTTTTTCTCTAGCTAAAATACAGTACATATTTATCTTAACTTTATGGAGGGCTCTTGATGGTGTATGGAAGATGGTGATGAGGGGGGGGGAGGAGGAGAGGTGTTACTGTTTGGAAGGGGAGTTCCCTTCCATTATAACATCAGGCAGTGATGATTTCTCTGGGGTACTCTCTCTCTCCTACAGTTTGCCTGCATACCACTAGGACCTGGTTGTGGTTCACTGCTTGTTTGTCTCATTAAAAATTTATCTAGCTACACTTGTTTTTCCCTTTGTTTTAACATTTGTCTGTAGTGATGCATCAGTGTCATTGAAAAGGTTAAGGCAACGGCATACTACAGCTTGCTCTGGATGAGTCGTTTCAATAAAAGTTTGCATTATTCCCCAAAGTCTACACCACTTCCTAATTGTTGAGGAAGGGCCATTCTGTTCTGCCTCCTTCCCTGAAGAAATTTGCTCAACTGCCTCTATGGTCATCCACACACATGTTTTCATATGTTCAACCTTACCACTGACTTTCTTGGGACCCCATGGTGTGATATATAATAATCAGTTTTATGTTCAAAAAGCAAAAAATCGCCTAAAAAATTGATTTTCTTATAAGCGTGATCGTCACTAAGCGAGCTTTTCTAGTAAACTGAGGCAGGTCGGTCAGCGCAACCATGAACCATGTGCTCGGTCGACCCGAACGTGTATCAATGAATATCGCTAGTCGACGACACTATAGTAAGTTGAGTCCCATTTTCCGATCAAATTTATATCATAACTAGAAATTATCGTAAGTCGGGGCAATCGTAAGTCGAGGTGCCACTGTATATATAAACACATGCTGCCTGTCCCTAACAAAATGAATTATGTACTTCTCTTAAGCGTTTAATAAGGTACCACATGAAAGACTGGCAAATAAATAATTACAAGCACCTGGAATAAATGGTAAAATACTAAATGGATTAAACAATGGTTAAAGCAAGGAAAGCAAAAGGTCAGTCATCCTAAATGGAAAGGAGTCTAATGAGAGAAGTGTGTTGAGTGGGGCACTGCAAGGTTCCATCTTGGGGCCACTCATTTTTGTCACATACATCAGTGACATAGATGAAAATATTAAAACCACATCATCAAATATGCACATGACACTAAGATCTATTTGCAAAGTAGGAAGCCAAAAAGATATTACAAGCTTTGCAAAAATATCTGCATAAACTCCATAAACGGTTGGAAGACTGCCAAATGCTCTTTAAAATTGAAAAATGCAAGGTTTTTTTATTCAGGGCATAACAATACACATCACAACTATCAATTCAACAAAATTACCATGTGCAAATTGAAGAACAGGACCTAGGAGTCAGAATCCTAGAAAAACAAGATGGGTAGTTTTAAATTTGTAGATGACTACACATTTAATTTATCGTTTCAACAGATTTGATAAAGCCCTCGCAGGCAAAACACTCTTTACAAATTTAGTCTTTCATCTTGATGTATGCTATCTCTAGATCATGTCTATTAATAAATTTAATATTTTCCTGCCAGGTTACATTTCCTTACCATTTCCTATAAAATAATTAGTATCATTGTTCTTGGTTCCTCCACTGCCATGATACAAGTGCAAGTTCTTGGTTCATTCCCTGTACATGAACTCTGCAAGATTAAAGGAAATTGCAGAAAGCCCATTAGCCCATGTGAGGCAGTCCCTATTTATACCCAACCAAGCTCACTTGTACAAGAGTCTAACTTTCACTTCAAATAATCTAGTGATTCAGTATCTGTTATGTTAGTCAGTAATTTGTTTATTTTTGGAAATATGGTTGTTAATTTATTAATGAATACAGTACAGTATTTTTGTTTTAAATGTAGTTTTAATTTAATATTTATTCCCATTAGGGACTTGCTGGCAGCCTCCTACAGAGATCCTGTCCTTGGAGCTTCTGGGGTGAGTCACAGTAATGTGTGTGTGCATCATTGCCCTGAGGAAAAACTAGTCTTAAAGCACTTGCCTTGTGTTTAGTAAATATATGGGCTTAAATATTACACATGTATTTCGTGTGCGAGATTGTTAAGTGGCAAATACTGTATCAGTGTACCCTTGATTTTCCTGCTTGCCTCTATCATCTTCCATGTAAACACAGACATACAGTATATGAAAGGGTGCAGGCCTGTACCTGAGACTACCAGGGCACAGCAGCCCATAGTGGCAGGGCGAGGGGGCAGCCCTGCATCCAACAAATGGAATGGTGGTGGCAAATGCAAATCACGGAGTCCGGTATGGAATTGAATGGGGAAACCAATAACACACCAACCGATAATACAGATGAAACAAAACTCTATCGGGATGAAAGACAATGGCTATGTGAATTGTCACACACAGGCAGGCATGTCGGGTACAAGGGACGCATTTCTACTTAATCAGAGACCAAAGCAAGACCATGAACATCTGGCAGGTAGAAGGGTTTTAACTGCATCCTCCACTAAAGTGCATTGTCTGAACATGCAGAGGGAGCAGAATCATGTGTGGTAGCAACATAAGCACAGAGCTAACTACAATGGCTCCCAATCAACATGTCTTACATGGGAGAATGTCAGAGAATACCCTTTAGGGTATGATTAAGATCTTTTGTACCTGTTATAATTATTTTGTACTGTCACTCAGGGAATGAGTATGGCAAATTATAATAAACTAACTGCAGATGGTGACACCAATCTATCAAACAAGTGGAAGTTCAACATCTTAGTGGGTCCAGATATATGGCGGAGAGCGAGTGGAATGCAGGAATTGGGCTGTGGACTCGGAGGCAAATGCTTGACAGTAAAGTTGTAGGATCAGGAATGCATCATATCAGACTGGAGGTAGAGCTCAATCCCCATAGTCATGTAAGGGTTGGAACACCCACAAATACAAGTAATTGGTAGTCAAGAGAAACTGCCTAGACATTTAACTCTTTGCACAAAAATATACACTGTATAGAAAAGTATTAAAAATACTGGTAGTATTTGAGAATTTAATATAGCCATTATTGGGTTGCAACGGACCTCCTTAGTCTTTTTATTACCTACTATGAAAATTTATTGCAATAGTTCCTTCACCTAAAGCTCAAATAATTTCTGTCCAGGTTACTCAAAATGATGGCACTTGGGTAAATTCAGGTTTACCTGCACAGAATTTCGTGCAGAATTTTTATTTCACGAAATTGAATTTGTCATTTGCTGCTTATCAAAGCACGTTGCTTACCAGAGCTACATAACGACAATGCCATTCCTAAACGTCTACTTCTCGATTGATTGTGTAAAAACATGTGATTACTATCCTTATTTTATACAATTTTCTGGGGGAGCCCCTTCGGCTCCCCGGAGCTATCCAGGCTAATATGTATATCCCTAACCTTTCACATCAGTGTAATTACCTAAGTGTAGTTACAGGATGAGAGCTACGCTCGTGGTGTCCCGTCTTCCCAGCACTTTTTGTCATATAACGCTTTAAAACTACTGACGATCATGGCCTCCACCACTTTCTCACCTAACTTGTTACAACCGTCTACCACTCTTTTTGCGAAAGTGAATTTTCTTATATTTCTTCGGCATCTGTGTTTAGCTAGTTTAAATCTATGACCTCTTGTTCTTAAAGTTCCAGGTCTCAGGAAATCTTCCCTATTGATTTTATCAATTCCTGTTACTATTTTGTATGTGGTGATCATATCACCTCTTTTTCTTCTGTCTTCTAGTTTTGGCATATTTAATGCCTCTAACCTCTCCTCATAGCTCTTGCCCTGCTGTTCTCGGAGCCACTTAGTAGCATGTCTTTGCACCTTTTCCAGTTTGTTGATGTGCTTCTTAAGATATGGGCACCACACAACTGCTGCATATTCTAGCTTTGGCCGAACAAAAGTCGTGAACAATTTCTTTAGTATATCGCTATCCATGTATTTAAAAGCATGGATGGCGAAAAGCACCATGTGTGGATGTAGTTCTAGGCCTACCGGGGACCACGACCAGAACCTGGCCCCCTCAGAGAGGCATGAGGAGCAATGGCGTATAGAAATGCACATGTGATTTGGAGCATTCTATATCGGCCATCGACCGGGACAGGCACCCAAGAAAGATAAGCGCCCCAAAACAAACCCCTATTCTGGTTAAAACCAAGGAAATTAGCCAAATGAGTGGGCAGAACTCCCCAAATGAAAACGAGCAATCAAGCATGACGTCACACGAGCTGCACCGCTTGTCTGCGCAGCTTCCCCCTCCTTGGGAGGGGAAGGGGAAGCCCCAGACAAACTGTGCCAGCGATTCAACCACTAGTTCTTAGGCTGGTGTGATTAGGCACGGTTGGGTGGCTCTAGTTCCGGTTTCTCTTGCTGTGCTGTGCTTGGTGTTCAGTACTGCTCTTACGGTGGCGTGCGAGCTGGGAGTGATATTCACAGGTACTCCGGCTGCATATGCTTAGGGTTCTCTTCCCTGAGTGCCCTGTAAGTACTGCCCTTGGGGCTTGGGGTTCTCTTCCACAAGTCACCTTGGGATCTACCTCGGTGGTCTTTTGCTGCTTGGTGATTGACCGCCCCGAGTGTTGGGGGGTTTTCCTCCCTTGTTTACCTTGGGGTAAGTGGTAGTTTATTGCACTGGTGGGGTGCGGGGTACTGCGCAGCAGTTTTCACCTATTAAAGTTGCCGACTCTGTTTCTCCTGCTGTACCTTTTCCTCTTGCATGGCTTTGTTTTTCTTTTGTTTTGGCCTGGTAAGGAGGGTCTACCTTGTGTCCCTTACCCCTGTTTAGTTAGGGTGTTGACTTCCTGTGTTTGGTGGTACCCCCTGCTTCACCCCTATGAGTTGATACGTCCCGGAGGTTCAGCTTTAGCAGTTTGTTGGTAGACTTGGGCGCCAGTTAGCAGTACCCCGCCTGGGCATACCCTTAGCGATACCAGTCTAGGGGGCCCCTGGGAATCCCCGTGGAGGCACACGGGTCCGATGGATGCGACCCCTGGGTCTCCTCTTGCTTTGTGCAAGTTTGAGGTTGCTCTGTCCCCTTGTCTCAGGGCGACGCTCATTGTTTTTGCCTCCGTCATGCTGCCTGTTGGGTCAGTGACACCTTCGACCCTGAGTCCTGCAAGCACTGTTGCTTGTTTGTGAGTCAATTCATCCAATCTGATGATGACTTTATTCGGGTGCAGGCGGCTCAGGTGTTGCATGCTTGGTTTCGGTTGCTGCAAAGCTCTCGGTTGGTTGCTTCCCCGGATGCCCCGAGGCTGCCCCTCTTTGCTTATAGAGACCCAGACTTGGAGGTTTTGGTCGTTTCGACCTTGACTCACTCCGCACCCCCCTTGTTCTTTCCCTGCTGTTGTTTATTCTGCCCCCCCTTCCCCCCTTCCTTCTGGCTCTGAAGCATCTGAGGGCTTCGGAGGCATTTGAGCCCTTCCTCCAGTTATAGTGTCGGGGTCTGACCAGTGGGACTCTTCTCTTCCTGCTTTTCAGGCTGCCCCGGTTTTTTCTTGAGACCGGGGCCTTGGAGGAGGGCTCGCCCCCGGGGCCTGATGTGGAGGCTCCCAGGGTTGAGGTGGTGCTGACTTGGAGCCTTTGGGCCTCGTTGGACCCCGCCTGGGTTTTCAAACCCTCCGAGCAGGGCTTTCTGTTACAAGGAGTGGGGTTTTCCTTCCCGTCCCCCCCTCTCTGCGTACGAGTTGGATTTGGATTCAGCTTCTCCCCGGGTTTGGTTCTGTGTCCCTGTGAGTCCTTCGGTTCCGTCCTTTAGGAGGTTTTCAGTCTTCCGTGTCTCGCCTGCTGAGGCGCGGGCAGCCATTGCGGCTTACCTCCTGTGTAACCCAGACTATGCTTCTACAATGGATTCGTCTTCCTTCAGGTTTGGGTCTTCGTCTTCATACTGGGTCCGTTATGAGGTTCCGGAGTCGTCCTGGCCCGTTGCTGTAGCTGGATGCTTGGAGTGCATTCTGCTGTACCCACACACTTGAGTGGTGTGAGGCGTTGACGGTGGTCCAGGTTTTCCTGGGGGTGACTTCGTGCACCTTAATGAGTGCTTGTTTGCTCTTGCCCTTCTGCAGGATGTGGGATGGTTCAGCTTCATGTGTAGGTTGACCACCCTTTCGGCTGCGCTTGTGGCTGAGGACTTGTGCACTCGTGGCTTGTTGGCTTCAGTCCTGTGTTTCTTTTCCCTCTTGGAGCTGTCCTCAGACTGGCTTACAGAGGATGTTGAGGTGCTTGGTGCCTTTCCCGGGTCTGGTGGTCTCGGCTGCTCGTGCATCGTCTGCGCTTCTGAAGCTGTTTGCGCCAATCCTGCGGGATGTGGTGTCGCATTTTTTTGCTGCGTGTCTCGCGTGTCAGCAGGTTGTGCTCGCTTCCTCCTTGGAATCTGCTTGGGCCCTGGCTCTTACATTATCTTCGCCTTTTTGTCCCATGTTGTTTGTGGACTCTACAGTGGAGAAGTGTCTACAGGCAGCTTCTTCCAGCTGTCGTCCGATGTCCAACTTGTTGGTTCTCTGGGGGGTCCCAGGGGGGGGGGGTTCCTCACAGAGGGGTCGTGTCAGGGTTCAGGGTTCTGTTCATCCTGGTGGGCCGCTGGCGCCAGGTTCGGGACCAGCACTGCCTTTGGAACCATCTGCATCTGGTCGGCGCTGTGATCACTCTGTGCTCAGGTCGGGTTCTCATAAGGGGCATCAGCCCTTTTGCAGTTCGCCCCATTGACAGGGTGATGAGGGGAAGCATGCTCTGTTTGCTCGCGCCTGGTCTTATGATTTGTGGGTATTTCGGGTAGTTTCCCTGCGTCCTGCGGTGGTGTTGGGTGTCCCCTCCTCCTTCAGGAGGTTCGAGGCAGGCTTCCTCTCCTGTGCTCTGTTGGGTCATCTCGGAATGGATGTGCTTGGGTGTTGTCGAAATGATGACGTCTCTAGGTGGGTTTCCAGTTCCAAAATGGGAATGTGCGAACCTGCGGTTCATTCTGGACTTGTCCCATCTGAACCCCTGGGTTTCTTGCCCCTCCTTTTGGATGACCACTCTGTCCCAAGTCCAGCTTCTGTTGGAGCGGGACCCTTGGATAGTGTCCCTGGATCTCAAGGATGCATATTCGCAGTCCCTATTCATCCTGGGTTCGGGGACTAGTTCGGTTTGGTTGTGGGGTGTCAGGGTTACTGCTTTCATTGTCTCCCATTCGGGTTGAACCTGGCTCCTCGTGTGTTCATGCACCTTACTCGGGTCATCATGGCCCGTCTGCATTTCTTAGGTGTTCGGGTGTTGGCCTACCTCGATGACTGGCTGGTCTGGGCTCCCAGTCAGTTCACGTGTCTGCTTGCCAGGGGTTTGGTTCTTTCCCAGCTAGCCGGGTTCGGGTTCCTAGTGAACTGGAGGGAGTCCCATCTGGTTCTCTCTCAGGGTTCGTACCTGGCTAGGTTTTGTGTGGTAAATTTTGTGTAATTAATTTTTGTGTGGGGGGTTCCTGTACCTCTTTTCCCCCGGTTCAGCTGTTGCTCCAGGTCCTCAGGGGAGAGAAGTCCTTCTAACCCCTTGGTGGCCGGCCCAGCCTCGGTTTCGGGCGCTGCTTGCTCGGTGTCCAAACCTGGAGGTTTTCCTGTGGCTCCGCCTCTTTCTGCAGATCGGCCAGGTCCATTATGAGGCTGGTTCGATCTTCTTCTCGAGTTTTCGTGTCCGGAGTTTTTGACTAGAGTCTCTCGCTATCTCTATGGTGATCAGGTGGCTTCTTTGATGATGTCCTACCTGCGGATTTTGTCTCGGCGGCAGTTTGAAGTTTCCTGGTAGTCCTTTTGGTTCTTTTTGCCTCTCTGTCGCTGTACTTTGCTTTAGGTTTGGGTTGTTTTGTCTTTTCTCTTGTGGCTGTTTCAGGACCGTCATCTGATGCCGAATACTGTCGCCTCGTATCGTGCGGAACTGGCGGAGTCGCTGCAGCTTGCTTTCAGTATAGATGTTATTTCTACACTGTTTCGCAAGCTGTCTCGGGCGTTGTTTCACCTTCGGCCTGCTCAGGCACTGCCTGAGTCGTCCTGGTCCTTGGACTGGGTGTTCTTATATTTGTCTTCCCCTCGCTTTGTTGCGGCCCCTTTGGTTCAGGATTGTTTTTCTAAGGCTCTTTTTTTTTCTTATTGGCATTAGACTCTGGGGGTCGGGTCGGGGACCTTCATGCTCTCCTCCGGCACAGGGGTTTAAGCTCTTTTGGTCATGGTGATAGGTTTGTTCGCTTGCTTTCGTTTTGTTAGGTTTGTTCTTCTTTTCTGGCGAAGAATGAGACTGCTGCTTTCTGGAAGGGCCCTTGGGTTGTTGATGATTGGTTGGTCAGGCCGGGGGTTCTTCATGTGATGTGTCTGGTTGTGGCGCTTCGCCGTTATTTGCGCGCCACGGCTTTGGTTGGCGGGGATGCGCTTTGGGTTGATCCGGATTCCCTTCCCTGTTCCTGGGTTCGGGTCTCTCAGGTTGTCCTCAGGGTTATTCAGTCAAGCCAGCCTACAGTCTGTCCCTGTGCCCATGACATTCATAAGTTTGCTGCTCTTGCTGCAATCATGTGTTGATTGGTAACATGTGTTGTGTTGACATTCGGGCCTGGGGTTTTTGGCGGTCGAACAGGGTTCTGGCTGCACGTTACCACGTGAATGTTCCTGGGCCTAGTCGAGGCTGTCACTTTGGGTCGGCAGTTACAGCCAGTTGTCTCAAATTCGAGTTGAGATGCGAGCACCGACCCCATTTTCTGGGTAAATGCCAGAGACTCCCTGGCAACCCCACGCTTCTCCCAGTTGGCGGTTTTCGAGTATTTTGACATCCAGCCTAAGAACTAGTGGTTAGATTGCCGGTGCGGTGGGTCTGGGGCTCCCCCCTTCCCCTCCCGAGGAGGAGGAAGCTGCGGTGACAAGCGGCGAGGCTCGTATGATGTCATGCTTGATTTCTCGTTTTCATTTGGGGAGTTCTGTCCACTCGTTTGACCAATTTCGTTGGTCAAACGGTTTTGTTTCCAAAACAAACCCCAGAATAGGGTTTGTTTTGGGACACTTACCTTGCTGGGTGCCTGTCCCAGTCGATGGCAGACATAGAATGCTCCAAATCACATGTGCATTTCTAGAGGCCATTGCTCCTCATGCCTCTCTGAGGGGGGGCTCAGGTTCTGATCGTGGTCTCCAGTAGGCTTAGAACTCCATCCACACTGACTGATGCCAAAGGATATACATATCAGCCTGGATAGTTGCGGGGAGCCTCTGGGACTCGCCCAGAAAATGGCGTTTCATTACATTCAACGCTGGTTTTTTCAGTATTGTAATACCAGTTTTGATTAACATTTTTTATTTATTATACTAATATTTTCACTAAATGATGATCCTTTACTATAAAAAGTTGGAACTTCTCAATTATATTGTTAGTACAGTATATCCAATCTAAAGTGTCACTTGCTATGTACGCAACATATCAGGCTGGAAAAAGTGCATCTGATCTGGGTGGAAAAATGCTTCCCTATCAACCAGAACAGTGTTGCTAGCCAGTTGTAACACTTCTGCTACAAACTTGATCATTGTTAGTCAACTGGTAGTTGTATTAACCAGCTTGAACTGCATCACTAACCAGCATGATCAGTGCCACTAATGAGCATGAGCAGTTCTGCTAACCAGCATGGACAGCACTAGTAACCAGCTTGAATAGTACCCATAAATAGCTGAAACAGTACCTCATCAGCTGGAATAGCACTGCTAGCCAGAATACTTCTTTCATATTGAAATAGTGTTTTTAACAGTCAGGAAGAGAGCCTGAGGCAGCTTTCACAATATTCCCTCTGCAGGAGAGCGGGGTGCCATTACAGTGCGAGTTCCAGGGTGAAGTCAGGGGAGTGGCAGACTCGTGGGCAGCTCTGTCTCTGTGTCATGGCATTAGGCAAGTGGTTTTGCTGTGTATGTGTGTGCATGTGTCTCTCTTGTGTCTTAATGTTTGTCTAGATTTAATAGTGGTTTTAAAAGTTTAGTTCTGTTTTGTATTTTTCCTTAAGAACATAGAAATCCTCTTAAAAGTTACTCTCTAAGATTTTTTTATTATCTTAATCGTGTGATGGGTCTCAAGAGTTAGCGTAAGTTCTTTATTCTGCCTTAAATTTCTATTTTTCCATACAGCACACAGATATTGTTCATTTAGTTGCAAACAGTCATCAGTGTTATTATGTGTTCTGATTTAATAATTCAGACTCATTTTCTACATCAGTATTCATTATTTTATCATTGGGTACTGATTTTTTATTTTTTTGCTGTGATTATTATATATATTATAAACTTTTAATTTCAATTTACATATGAAAGTTTTTTCTTTCTATGAGTATAATGATATTCCTGTGCAGAGGTGTGATAGTGGGAAGAGGAAAGGAGTTGATGGTGGAACCTGCTCAGAACACCTTGACTGCAAAGGGCCCACACCGCATCGTCTCCATCAATCTTCTTCAGCACTCGATAGGTGCATGTGGTGGGTGAAGTTCTCATTCGGGGATAGCTGCTAGCCATGCATAGCACAAATTGGCCATAGTGAACATTTTGTGATCACGAGTGATACTTTTATGGAAAAAAAATTTTTTCTCTGGTTTTTAGATTTTTTGAATACTGTACACCCAAACTATTAACATTTTCAGGAAGAGCATTCAGTTGAAAGTTGCCATTGTATATTTGTAGGAATGAAGTGAGTTTTATGTGAAAAATTATTTATGTAGCATTTTAGTAAAGGGATAAGTATATAAACGGTTCTTTATTGATGCATTAATACTTCACAATGGAAGTAGATCATGTGTTAATGAGAGTCAGGGGGGGGGGAATTTTTATAATAGATGGTGTTAAGAAATGGGTGTGCACTGTTGTTTTTAAATGTATTTTACCATATTTATGGATCAGCTCTCAGGAAGATGGGAAAATGCTGAAGAAAAGCATCTCTGATGATGGCTGAAATTAAGAAACTGCACTGAAAGCTGTGTGCAAGTCCTACAGTGTGCAATCCGAGAGAGTTAAAGCCAAATGCTACTAAAAACAAGATGATAATTTTCAAAAGTGCAATAGTAAATTGGTGGAATTTGTTTAACCTTGTTGGAAGAGTTACTGTTCAGGGTGAACACCCAAACAAAGCATCAGATAAGATATAATTTTACAGTCAGTAGTACAGTATAGGGCGGGCCTTTTATAGGCCCATTTCCATTACCTAATGCATCTTTTCACCTAGCAGTAAATAGGTACCCAGAAGGTAGTCAGCTTGTGGGATTGTATCTTGGGTGGGGTCAGTAATTCAACCCTGGGGGGGAAATGCCTCGATATAAGCCTAATATGTACTGTCTGCTTGTCCCTAACACAATAAATTATTATTATTATTATTAGATTAGTATTATGCACCAACGACTTCTTAATTCCTTTAGATTCATTTAACATTTTATAATAGAAATGATTAAGACAGAAATACGATAGTCTTTAATAAAGTCATTACATCAATATACAGCAGAAACTTCAACTTTGCAGGAGTAAATAGCAATGCCAAGAAAGGCAGCATCATCATCAGCAGCAGTGACAGTGACACAGAGATGGCTGATGGGGTCCTTGAGAGGGTAGGACCAGTTTCAAACTTTTCTCAGTATAGAACCAAGTGGTTGTTAATTATTGAATTATAATTCAGTATTGTATACATTTTTTTTGTTTTTAACTTTGTCAGACATTATACAACTTCTTTCCACTTGTGCCCAGGAACGACGTGAGGCCCTTCACGGTGACACTCTGTGGACAACAAAAGCTACACGATTTGTGGAGATGGTATTAGTAGCTGACCACAGCTACTATGAAACCTACCTCAATAACACTGTTCCACGTTGCAAGGCTATTGTTAACATTGTTAATGCAGTAAGTTTTAATTTGTACTCGTGCATACACTAAAATGGCATCAACTCTTAGCTGTGAAAACCATATATTGATGGTACAATATAATAGTTTCAGTTGGCACTTTTATAAACAGTATGGGTTAATTAATGCACGTCAAGTAATGTATGATTATTGCCCACAGTTAACAGAGATCTCTGGCAGCCTAGAGCCAATGATGACAAAATTCCCCCCCCCCCATTCCCCAACCCATAACCATAATTGAACAATGACAAGTTAATATCCATCAAGCTTGGTTAATGTGTCCTGGTGTTCACCGTATCATATGTTGTGAGGGGACTTTGCTCAGTTTCCTTTGAGACTCCTGGGAGAGTGTTTTTTAGATTCCAGTACCAAGCCTCACATATCTCGGCTGCTCCATTGCATGGTCAAGCTTCACTAGCCCTGGGCTTGTTTATGCCCGCACCCAATCAGACTTGGATGGAGTGACATAAAAGCATTTAGGCGTATGCAGCGAAACACTACACACAGCATAATCAAAATCAAAACCAGTCAAGGATTTCATAGGGGCTCAACTTGCAGGGATGTAGCAGAGAAAATTAAATATAAGGGAAACCAGACCAACCTCAGTGCAAAGTCCATAATGGTATCCCAGACAAGAAAGGTATGTATAAAGTGTAACTTGCCCACCCATGTACAATCCAAATAGAAACAAAGCACATTTACACCATCAAGTGCATTGTCTGACTATGAAGTGCCACCATTGAAGTTCCCAGTAAAGATTCAGTGTGCATACTGTGTGTAAATATAACGGCTTATCCTCCTAAAATTATAGTACTGTACTTATTGCAACTATATGTACTGATCAAATGTACCAATATGTACTGTTGGTCCCCCCAAAAATTAATTTAGTACAGTACTATTAAATTTGCCCAAATGGCCTTCTACAAAATCAGAAATGTAACTAAAGAACCTAATCTGCCCAAGCAATTCTAAGGTTAATACAGGCTATCTTAGGTATAATATAGTACTGTACTTATATGATACAGCATGTACTACAGTCCTACTAGGCCTAGGAATTTTGGATGATAATACATTTCTACTAGGACTAGAAATGTAAATTTGATTTTTTAGCCTTTTCCCTCAGACTATAAAATTAATAGTACCAAATGTAAACTTTTTTTAGGAGGTTGAGGGAGACAATATATACTGGTATGTTCGACCAAATACAGTAGTTGCTATAACAGCTTAGCACAAAGGCCCAGGCCATAGACACATACAAAAGGTGTCTCCAAGATAGTAATCCAATTTAATTAATGTATAAAAATCAGTGAAGCATTGAAACTATTGGGACCTACTCAAAGAAAGCAACCCTTAATATGTGGCTGTTGAAAAATGGCCATTCTTTTGCGCATAATACAGTACTATGCATAAAAAATGGGGAAAAATGTCATCACTGACTGTGATGACAATGTGAGCCTTTGGGCTATGAAGACAAATAGCCACATACAATGCAGTCATAAGGAAAGTCTGCTGGAATAGAACTACTGAAATTGTTAACAAGTAGAAAGGTAAGCCCTCTATCTTTGATCAGCCAGCACAGTGAGGAGAACCCTGAAACCAAACTGAAGGAGGAAACTATAGTTAGGCATGCAGTTGAATAGTAACACAGTGAAGCAAACACAAAATCAAAGGCCACTGAAATAGTCTCAAGGAAAGCCCAGACAACTTACAGTAACTGAATTGAGATTTACTGACCTTGAATCATAGCTAAAGGATGCAAAGCATGGGGATTGATAGAGGGGACCCTTTTTCAGAAATTTAGAATGAAACGTGAAAATAAAATCATTCTTAATGCAACTGAAGCACCTATGTGTTTAGATTTGTTGGTGTGTTCAGGCTGGTTGTCAGTTATGTATTGTACAGCAAACCTATTCCATTGTTCTACAACCACTATATTCCCTTCCTGCATTGTTACAGTTATTCCGACCTCTGGGAGTGGTGGTGGTACTGACCCATTTGGAAGTATGGGACACCAAAGACCAGATTGTTGTTGATAAGGATTCTAACAAGACAATTGATAACCTGAAGCCCTATAGGAAAAAATTGTTAACGACTCTTCCAGATGTGCCTAATGACACTACGCAACTACTAACGTAAGCATCTCTGCCTGTTATTAATTTTCGACTCCCATAGTTTGAAAATTACTGTCTATAGACTGATATATGGGCAGTAAGAGAGAACAGGAGACAGCATGAGGATTTCCTAAACATTTAACTGCCAACTATATACTGTACTTAGTCACCTTATAATTTAATTTCAATACTGTACAGTACTAGAAAATAATAAGTAATCTCTTTTATATTTATTGTCTATAATCTAGTGTAGTACAGTAGTTCTTTAGACATGCAGTTTACCAGTATGAAATAACCCTCCATTAGATTTAAATGTAATACAGTTATTGGATTTTATATGTAGTTTTACATTTACAAATTTAATAGTTAGGGGAGACCTGAGTTTAGGAATATATCAGTACTGTACCAACAAAATTTTGATTTGTAATATAGTAGTACAGTACTAGGTTGCCAAGAAATTAACTTTGCACATGTATAACACTCATAAAATTGCACAAAATTTCCAGGACCATTGACTTCACTGGAATCACTATTGGCAAAGCCACGATGAATGGAATGTGCAGGTAGGTGCTGGTGGATTTTGTTGTCATTGACAAATAATATACTGAAGGTAGCACTTGTTTCATATCGGAGGTTGAACAGGGTCCTGGCTGCATGTTATCTCGTCCATGTTCTTGGTCATAGTTGTCCATGTGTGGCTTTGGGTCGCAGGTTGCAGCCATTTGTCTTGACTTTTAGTTGAGGAGCAAGTGCCGTTCTCCAGGGAGCTCCAGGGAGCCTCTGAGGCTCACCCAAAAAAATTGTTTCATTACATTCAACGCTGTTTCTGTGGAGAGCCCCTTCGGCTCCCTGGAGCTATTCTGGGCTGATGTGTGCATATATTAGACCGTGGCAACAGTCAATCGAACGAATTCTAGGCCTACCGGTGACCAGAGCCAGAACCTATGTAACCCCTGTGTAATTGGAAGCAGTCTTTGTCTGCCATCTACCAGGTCAGGCACTCAGAAAGGTAGGAATTCCAAAACAAACTTCTTCTGATCAAAATTTGCAAACCGAAAGCCAAACTAACGACAGAACTCCCCATTCAAAACAAGGAAACAAGTATGACGTCACCACAAACGCTGGGCATCCGTCTGCGTAACCCCCCTCCCCAGGAGGGGGAGTGGGGGTCCAAGACCTCCATGCGGCAACTCTCCTCAGTTCACAGGCTGTTGTGAGAGCCGAACGGTCGATCGACTCTGGCTCCATCCTTTGAGCAGTGTTACAGAGCAGTGTTGTTGTTCAGTATTGGTGTCGTGCGAGCCAGGAGTAACAAGAGTACTGGGGCTGCATGCACCTAGGGCCACCTTCCCTAGGTGCTCTGTAAGTACTACCCCCTGCGGCCTCAGGGTTATCTTTCCTGAGCCTTTGGGAACTACCTCCGCGTGGTTCTGTTGCTGCTCAGTGATTGCCCGCCCTTGGGGTTCAGCTGGGGTGGTTCTTACTCCTGTTTGCCCTTGGGTAGGAGGTAGTTTCGTTGCTGGCTGGGGACGAGGTACTGTGCTGCTGTCTGATATACACATAGCAACCGGTTCTGTTCACCTGGAGACATTTTGCTTTTGTGGTTTTTTTCTTTTTTTTGTTTGTTTTGCCTGGTGGGGGGATGGGTCGGCCTTGTGTGGCAGTAGGACCACTTGTATGATTTTGGTGGCCCTCCACCAGGTCAGTGTGCTTGCACACGTCGCAGGGGTTCAGCTTTTAGTTTGTTTGCTTGGTAGCTCTGGGATAACCGGTTAGCAGTACCTCGCCAGAGCTTCCCTTAGTAGTTGGCCTAAGGGCCCCTGGAAACTCCCATTCAGGCTCAGGGGTCTGATGGAAGAGACTTCAGAGTCCCACCTCTGAGTTTGAAGGTTGCTCTGTCCCTTTGACTCGGGGTGACACTCACCGTCTTTGCCTCCCCCATGCTGTTTCTTGGGTCAGTGACACCTTTGACCCGGAGTCCTGCGAGTGGTGTTCCTTACTTGTACTCCAATTCACCCAGCCCAATGAGATTGATAATCGTGTGCAAGCAGCTTCGGCGTTGCATGCATGGTTTAGGTTGCTGCAACGCGCAAGGTTGCTAGCCTTTATGGAGGCCCCACAGCTGCCCCGCCCCGCTTTGGTTATAGGGATTCGGACTTGGGGGTGTTAGTCACCTCGACTTTGGTTTCATCTGCATCCCCTAGTCCTTCCCCTGCCTTCATCCTGCTACCCCCCTTCCCCTGCTCCCGGCTCCCAAACGTCTGAGGGTTTTGGAGTCGGGGCAGAGTTTGCCTGGTGGTGAGTCTCGGGCGGCTTTGGGGATTGCCCCTTCCGGATCGGCGGCAGAGGCATTTGATCCTGTTTCTCCTGCTGGAGTCTTTGGGCCTCACTAGCAGGCCCCCTTCATCCTGGATTTTCTGGTGGACTCTGCTTTTCTCCAGAGGCAGAGGCTTTGGAGGACTGCTCGGCCCCGGGGCCTGACATGGAGGTTCCTGGGGCTAGGGAGGAGTTCACTTGGGGGGGCTTGGGTGTTGGTACCCTCAGCGTGGGAGCGTGTTGTTACAGGGGGAGGGGTTTTCCTATCCCCCCTCCTTGTACGAGTTTGATATGTGTGCAATTCTTCCCCGAGTTCGGTTCCGGGTTCCCTTGGGTTCTTCAGTTCCCTCCTTCGGCTTTCTGCATCACACCAAAGGTGGTGCAGGAAGCCCATGTGGCTTACCTCTTGCGAGACCCGATTACGCCTCGGTAATGGATCCTTCTTCTTTCGAGTTTGACTCCTCGTTTCCTTTCTGGGTGCGTATTGAGGTGCTGGAGTCTTCCTGGTTCGCGGACTGCCCTTTCTTTTCGTTGGGGCGTGGCATTCATTCTGTCGGACCCACGCGCTTAAATGGCGGGAGTTGACTACGGTTCAGGTTAACCTAGGGAACAAATTTGAGCACCTCAGTGCATGCTTGTTCACCCACGTACTTCCTCGTGATGTCGGTCAGGTGCAGCTTCATGCGCAGGTTCCTTCCCTTTCGGTGTCCCTGGTGGCCGAGGATTTGCACGCCTTTGGGCATTTGGCTTCGGTCTTGCGTTTCTTTTCTCTGCTGGAGCTGTCTTCGGACTGGCTCAGCAAGGATGTGCAGGAACTGGAATCTGGGCTTGTGTTCGGTGTGTTTGCTCCGGCAGCTCAGGCGTCGGCTGCCTTATTGAAGTTTGCGCCGATTCTGAAGCAGGCGGTGTCTCTGCAGTGTACCTTGACGACTGGCTGGTGTGGGCTCCAAGTCAGTCCTCGTGTCTGCTCACCAGGGATTTGGTTCTTTCCTAGCTCGCCGGGTTCGGGTTCTTGGTGAACTGGAGGAAGTCCTATTTGGTTCTCTCTCAGGTTTAGACTTGGCTGGGTCTTGTGTGGGACTCTCAGACTGCTTCCTTGTCTCTCCCTCCGGCGATGCTGTTGCAGCTGCGGTCCCGCCTACGACTGTTTTGGAGGGCACCAGGGTCACACGCCGGTTGTTCGAGCAGCTGTGCAGGAGCCTGAACTTCGTTGTGCTGGTCTACCCATCGGGTCGGATCTGGCTTCGGCGGCTATTCTGGTTTCTCCGGGAGCGTCCCTTCTGCCGCTCTCGCTGGGTTCGGATCCCAGGAGCCTTGCGCTGGCTGCTGCGTCGTCGGCTTCCTCTGCAGGTTTTTCGGGGTTCTGTGCTGTGGCACCTCCCCGAGCCCTTGTTCAATGTGTTCATGGATGCCTCATCTCTTGGCTTGGGATTTGTGACAAGTGCTCACCACGCCAGCCAGCCAGGGTCGGTGGGGTCCGTCCTTCCGTCGAGCTCGCATCACGGTGCAGGAGTTTGCGGCGATGTGGCATTCGCTTCAGAGGATTCGTGTTGCTCGCAGAGCAACAATCCAGCTCCATTCGGACTGCTCCCCAGTGGTTCATTGCCTGAACCACGGGGATTCGATGCGGTCCTTGGCCCTGTGGGGCTGGTCGCTTCAGGGGACTCGTCTGCCGAGTTCTCGGGGTTTGGCTTTCCTGGCGGTTCACATTCAGGGGGGTGTCAAACGTCTTGGCAGACGGCCTGTCTCGGTTCATTTCCCTATCCACAGAATGGACAGTCGACGCCGACTCGTTCAGTTGGTTTTGCCGGACATCCGGGTGCCCAGAAGTGGACCTCTTCACATTGGCGTGGTCGAGGCATCTTCCAGTGTATGTGGCGCCCTTCCCAGACTGCGAGGCCGTCTGGGTCGATGCCTTTCGGCTGGACTGGTCGAGGTGGGGTTACCTGTACTGTACCTCTTCCCACCGGTCCGGTTGTTACTCCGGATACTGGCTCGGTTGGAGACTTGCCAAGGGAGAGTAGTCCTGTTGGCTCCTTGGTGGCCGGCCCAGCCCTGGTTTCAGGTGCTTCTTGCGCGATATCATAATCCGAAGGTCTTCCCGTGGCTCCACCTCTTTCAGCAGATCGGTCCGGTCCAGTACATGGCTGGTTCGATCTTCTCTACTCATTGTGTCTGGTCTTTTTGATGCGGGTTTATCACCACTTGTATGGTGATCAGGTGGCTTCGTTGATGGTGTCCTGTTACAACCCTGGGTTCTTGTTTGGAAACCAGAGATCAATTTTGAGTTTAAATAATTATGTATACATTAATTCATAGGATTGGATTATATAAGAGGGATATTTAATCGATAACATTTATATTCAGGGCTTATCATACCTGATACACATTTGTTTCCGTCTCCCTTGCCAGACGTAAGACAAATCTTGTTACTCACAGAGCATTCAGACTCTGTGCTTGTTGATTATTAAATATACATATTGAATTAGTTATCAGCTATTCTTAGAATTGTTAAAGTAACTAGTAATGAATGTCGGTGAAGACTTGTAATGATTCTGGCTGTACGATCAGTTAAGTATCTTCCCGGCAGCATCCTTTGAGAGAGCTCTGAGGCTGTTCTAGAGGTCTTCTGGTTCTGGCTGTTGTGGTGTCTACACCTTCCCTGTGGACTCTGTTCTCCTCCTCCTCCTTCTCTCTTCCCTTACCTTATTCTGTGTTTGTTATACAAGCTAAGTATCTGACTGTGTATTACTGTGGTACTGGCTAGGTGTGTAATTAGTTCTGGTGTAATCTAAGCTAGTGTTTTGGTATCCCTACGTGTACTCTAGGAGACTAGGGAGACCACATGTGCTTAAGTCTGTGATACCTATGATGCTAGTGCCCTTCAGGAAAGTAGCCTTTACCCTAGTTTTGAAATTGTAAACTTTGCATCCTGCTTATGTGGACCAAGGTGTTTAACGTAAGGTAGAGTGGTAAAGTGATTTATTGTATTTATGTATATGGGGGTTATTAGAGGGTTCAATAAATAAGGATAAAGCTAGGAGTATCTTTTCATCTGGTTTGGAGTGGAGTAGGTGATTACCTTAAATGGCAGACTTTTATTCTAGCCAAACAAGTTCATTCATTGTTGGGAATATTCTTCCCTGGGGGCCGGGGCCTACCTATTTCCACAATTTTAGGAACTCCTTTGTACTATTGGCCCTCTCATTACAACCACCTACCCCCCATAACATATCTCGCCTGTGAGTTTCGTCTAGACAGCAGTATGAAATTTCCTGACGGTCCTTTCGGCATTTTTTGTCTCTTTGTAGGTTGTCTTCGATTTCTGATTGGGTTGTTTTGTCCTTTTTCTCTTGGTTGTTTCAGGACCGTCATCTTATGCCAAATACTGTCGCCTCGTATCATGCAGCGCTAGGGGAGCTGCTGCAGCTTGCATTCGGGGTGGATGACACTGCTCCGTTCCGCAACCTTTCTCGGACGTTGTTTCACCTCCGGCCTGCTCATGCGCTGCCTGAGCCATCCTGGTCGTTGGACCGGGTGCTCTCTTTTCTCTCTTCTCCTCGGTTTGTGGTAGGCCGCCCCCCCCCCCTCTTTTCAGATTGATTTTCTTAGGCTCTTGTTTTTCTTGTTGGCATTGGCCTCTGGGGATCGGGTCGGGGAGCTTCATGCTCTCCTCCAGTGCAGGGGTTTCTGCTCTTTCGGTCCTGGTGGCCATTTTGTTCATTTGCAGCCGTCTCCTTCTTTTCTGGCGAAGAATGAGTCTGCTGCTTTCCAAAGGGGTCCTTGGATTGTTGATGCTTGGTTGTTTCAGCCGGGGGTGCATCATGTTTTGTGTCCGGATGCGGTTCTTCGTTGTTATTTGCGTGCCACGGCCTGCATGGCAGAGGACGCGCTTTGGGTGAACCCGGTTTCCCTTCTTCCCTGTTCCAGGGCGCGGGGTCTCCCAGGTCGTCCGCAAGATTATTCAGTCCAGCCAGCCTGCGGTCTATCCCCGTGGCCATGACGTTCCTACATTCGTGGCTTTGGCTGCAGTTTTTGGGAATATGTCCTGAGCTGACATTCGGGCATGTTCGTTAATGTTTCCGGATCCTTCTCAGGAGTGTGTAGCCTTGGATCACAGGTTGCAGCCAGTTGTCTCGACTTGGAGTTGAGGAGCGAGTGATGACCACCTCCTGGGTAAGTCCCTGTTCTTTTTTATCTTTGGTTAGATAGCTCCGAGGAGCCGAAGGGGCTCTCCACAGAAAACCAGTATTGAATGTAATGAAACGCCATTTTCTGGGTGATACCAGGAGGCTCCCCGGCATTCCTTCCTCTCTCCGGTCGGCGTTTTTTTCACGTTTTTGATACTCGGCTTCTGAACTGAGGAGAGTTGCCGGCGTGGAGGTCTGGGACTCCCCCGTCCCCCCTCCCAGGGAGGGGGGGTTACACAGACAGATCCCCGGCATTTGTGGTGACGTCATACTTGTTTCCTTGGTTTTGATTGGGGAGTTCTGTCGCTAATTTGGCTTTTAGTTTGCAAATTTTGACCCACAGTAGTTTGTTTTGGAATTCCTACCTTTCTGGGTGACTGACCTGGTAGATGGCAGACAAAGACTGTTTCCAATTACATGGGGGCTTTAGGCCATTGCTCCTCGTGCCTCTTTTGAGGGGGGGCCAGATTCTGGCTCTGGTCGCCGGTAGGCCTAGAACTCCTTCGATTGACTGTTGCCACATCAGCCCGGTATAGCTCCGGGAAGCCTCCGGGTCTCACCGAGAAAATGACATTTCATTGCATTCAACGCTGTTTTTTTTTATTATTATTATTAGTACAGTATTATACTTTTTGCAAAAGATTCCTTACTTTTGAATATATTTCATGTGAAAAACTAAGAAATAATTATTTGGTTATGGTTCCCATCACAATGTAATGCTGACAAATTCCAGAGGAACACTAACCAATTACTCTTAGTTTGCATAGAGATATGATTTTCTGTCATTTTTGTCATTCTATTTAAATACTTTATTTTTTCTATTTAATTCTATTTCTATTTAAATACATTCTATTTAAATACAAATTCATAAGGAAAAAAGGTAAAACAGTGAAAAAAATTCTGTACAGTAAGGGTGACAAGTTTGATAGTTGCACTTTTGGGGTTTAAACACAAATTGTGTAAAGCATTGCTAACTCTGAGTACATTGTTTCAAGGATTGTTTATTAATTAAAATATTGCTCATTGGTTTGTCATTATAAAAAAATGTAAACAAATATTTATAACCCTAAGGTAATGCAACAAAACTAACCATAAGGTAATGCAACAAAACTACATGCATACCTGTATTATGATCAATAAATATTGCGTTTTATGTAACTTGTACATTATATTAAAATTTCTTCCAGTTATGAGGATTCAGTTGGAGTTGTGCAGGATCAAAAGTTGGATGGGATAACCTATGTTGCACAGACGCTCGCTCATGAACTTGGCCATAATCTGGGTCTTGGTCATGATGAGGATGATAAGGACTGCCAGTGTGAAACAAACAATTGTATAATGAACACCAGCAGGGACAGGTGAGACTGAGATGGGTAAATAGAGAGGAAAGAAAAGTATGGAAAAGATATACAGTATATATAAGTTACAAGTTAAATAGCAAGAGATAATTAAGGAGAATAAGACTTGTATAGAGCTTAAAAGGAGGAGTAAAGGAAGATAGTCCTGTGCTATTAAAAAGAGATAAAATAAATAGATACATGTTAAATATTACATGTAATATTTAAGATAATCATGTGTTAAATATTATATGTAAATTGTTAATAATACACCTGTGGCTGCACAAAATAAATGGGAGACAGTAAAGAGAATAAGGAAGTTGTTCTTAAGGGTAAAATGCATGATAATTGAAAGGGTGATTATAGTAAAATTCATAAATATGTGTTGAGTGTATTGAAATCCTTCTTTCTGAGCCAGTCCCTCAGGTGCTTCCAAAGCCAGGTTCACCCAGAACATGTTGCACACAATGTTCTACTCGAGAGAGACTTATTTCAATCAACCCCTGTACAAAAAAAGATTCATAACCTATCACTCTACTAACTACTAGTTAGCAACAAGAGAAAATGGGAGCAACTGTGGGGATGGTCAGAAAGGAGCATTTTACCATGTTCAACATCTTATATCTGAGCTAAGGTCCCCTTAGTCACTGCAGCAAACTGCTTCACTATGGTGTCACAGGGAAGAGAATAGCATAGCTTGTCACTCCAAGTTATGGAGAAATCACTACATGGTTCCCCAAGGATAGTCTTGCCAACATATGACCCCAGGCCACAGAGTGCATGTATAGTGATGGCACTTACCTGAAGGAAAAACATGTGAGATGACCTCACCCATTCCTGGAGAAATGGTACGGTGATACACTTGCAGCTGGCAAGGCTGAATCTGTACTCTGAAGAGCTGAAAGAGGGAAGCATTGACAGAAGGAAGTACAATGTAGTCAAAGCACACTAAGGCAGGGTACAGGCAGGAAGATGCCAGCTGTCCTCAAAAAAATCTGAGAGGCCTGAATATACTGACAGCTTCACCACTAAAGGTCATTTCATGACATTTAATGCTTTATTTATATCCATATCTCCACAAGCACAGTCAATGCTCTTTTCACCATCATTTAATGATCGCAAGTATACTCTAAAGTACAGTATAATCATAGGCTTGAAATATGTACTAGTAATAAATTCTTAAATTGCTCATTCTTTCAGTGTGAGCCATTGTCATTTAGGGTAGAAATGTTTGTGTAGTGTTGAGCTAGCTGCAATTTTTGTCTTTCACCATTTACAGACACAGTTCTCGCATCACCTGGAGCTCTTGTAGCAAGAGGAACCTTACTAGAAGTTTGAAGGCTTTCTCTTTTGACTGTCTGAAGAATGTGCCATCAAAACTGTTTTCGGGCAATAGTTGTGGCAATGGTGTGGTAGAAGAAGGTGAAGAGTGTGACTGTGGTCCAGCAGATTACTGTGAAAATCCATGTTGCATTTCTGACACATGCAAGTTTGTCACCAATGCCACTTGCGCCACAGGTCCTTGCTGTGACACAAAGGTGATTTAGAAATTTTTCTTGAAATGATTTAAATAATAAATAAAGATAAACAATATTGAGAATATACAGTACAGTACATTGTCTTGTTAAAAAGATCTTGGTTTAAAGTACCGTATTTTCATCCCGGGAAAAATGGCATTTTTGTTTATCTTGAAATTCATAAATTTTTTACTACTGTATTAGATTTTTAATTTTATTTTTCCCACAACAGTGATTTTAAAAAACTGAGCACAGTATGTTGTGCATCATACATGACAAAATCCTTCAAGCCACCTTGTATATCCTTGATTTGCAATCCAGGTGTTGTGGTCCCTGTCTACTAGAGCGGTGCTTGCTTTTGATGCTCTCTACACCATCTGTTATGTCTGTAGTTCAGCATTCTTTTCAGATTTTCAAGCTTTTCCTTCCCTGCTGATCTTTGCAGGGAAGTGACTGGGGGAAGGGGGTCTGCTACCTTGCCTTTGGGAGTGGGGTGTTTTGTCTTCCTTCTATGATGGGCCTTGGAGGGGTGTGTGTGTGTGTAATTACCCGAGTGTAGTTACAGGATGAAAGCTATGCTTATTGTGTCCCATCTTCACTATAATCTCTGTCATATGACATTTTGAAGGTTCCTATGATTTTTAGCATACATCACTACCTCATAATAACTTATTCCAACTGTTTGAAACTTTGTTTGCAATTGAAAACTTTAATTTCTTTTGGCCCCTTTCCTTTATAGTATATAGCATATTGTTAAGTTCAAGTTTCAACAATGCCTGTCACAATTTTGTATGTGGTGATTACATTGCTTTTTTTCCTTTTTATCTTATATAATGCCTCTAGTTTTTCTTCATAGCTCTTGTCTTTTAGGTACAGAGCTACCAGTGCCAGAACCAGGAGCCAGATTATGGAATCGGTTACATAAGCACTTATAAACATGTACATCTTTCCTCACTCTTTGACGGCTTTGGTTACAATTACTGTATTAAATAGTTTACAAGCATGAAAACTACCCAATCAACTGTTATTGCTATAAACAGTCTCCTGGTGCTTCGGAGCTCATTAACTGTTTAATAATTGTAAACAAAGCCGCCAAAGATTGAGAAAATGTGTACAGGTTCGTAAGTGCTTGCGTAACTGCTTCGTGAATCTGGCCCCTGATCTCTTTCATAGAGATGCAGAGAGCAAATGACATTCTGCCATTTCACCATGAAAGCATCCAGAAAGTCAGGGAAGCTTAACAGATAACTGCTGGGTTCACAAGACTTGATGCCTCAAAACTGCCAAGCAACCCCAAATGATTTAATCGAAACAAAGTAAATCACAGGAGACTAGATTTAACTCATTAGTACTGAATGACACCAACAGGCAGCCTGGAGCTTGGTTTAAAGCCAGCTCACATCTTGGTTTTGTCACCGATGCCTTGCCTAGAGCAATGCAGTAGTGTTCCAGTTACCATCTTTTGAGACAGGTTCCAGTGCTTCTAAGCTAAGTACCAGCCATCCTAGGACTTGTCCTGTGGGAGGTCTTTTTTTTTTTTTTTTTTTGTTAATGTCTCATTCATTATAATATTGCTTTACAAGCATGTCTTTCTGCCTGGTTTTGTTGTGTAGACTTGGCTTTTTGCACTTTGAACTGCATGTGTTTAGTGGTAACTTCCTTGGGTGTTTGATTAGTGCTACCTTTGCACTGAGAGTAACATCTAAGGTGTGTTCGAGAGTTTGCCCTTTCAAGACCAGGCCACTTGGGTGGAGTGCCTTATGTGCCTTACCTCGAGTGTTTCAGGGGTCATTTGACTTCTTTGGCCTGTAGTTGGAGGCATTCAAGCAATTGTGTGGAGGGCACTTGTGGTTTATGCACTTTGTTTACACAGCATGCCATGCGCACCATTTGCAGCACAGGTATTGGGGCTGCTTATGGTTACCATTCTTTCAGTGAACATCCCCAGTGCCTGGGAGCACCTGTCTGGCTTTTAACCAGCAGGCTCAACCCAACAGGTCTCTGGCAAGGTCAATTATTCATAAAAGATGACCCAGCTAACCTTCTGTCGCTATTTGCAATTTTAAAGAGTGCTTGTCATCTTTGCTACATGGAAGTACTCATCTTTCTGCTTCCACCATGCTACCTGTTGGCCCCGATATTTGTGGGGTTTGTTCCACATGGGTTCTGACCCTTTCTATTCCTACTGGGTGGAAGCATAGTGGGCAGCTGCCACATACAGGTGCATTTGTCAGAGTTCAGCATATTTCATATTCAGAGTGCCATATTCTGGTCTAGTTCTGTGTACCAATTAGTCCTAGAGATTTGTCCATCCTAAAAGTTTCCCTCTTTCCAAGTCTCCCCTTCGGTTAATGGGGACGACCTTTTTTTGTGATGCCTCCTGCAAAATTCAAGCCTCTTCCATGATGGACCCCCTGCTTCCATTGAGTTTGGGTCGGCATCATCTTTTTGGCTAAGTTATGAGATCCGTACTCATCCTGGTTGGCTGACAACTTTCTTTTTTCCTTGGGGGTATGAATTTTAAGCATTCTGCAGCTCATTTTAGCTCGATGATTGCTTCTAGTACCAGTAAAAGTTCCTGATGGTGTCAGTACCTAGAATGTCACCATGTCCGACTGTATAATTTGTCCTGTATAGACTGCAGGATTTTACCTTAGAAGGCAGCCAAATAAGTCTGCTCAGATTAGCACTTTACATACATTCAAAACCTATTATATTCCTCTTCTCAAACTATTTAAAATAATATTAATTATTGTGTTGTACTGTATGTGCCATCATCAGATTTATGATGGTCAGAGTAAATAAAATATTCTGTTTTATAGTAATTTTGTTACATAATTTCATTATTCTATTACATTCTCAGTATGCTGAACACCTGTACCAGTATAGTACATGATGCGTTTCTTACAGACTTGCACACCAAAACCTACGTGGACAGTGTGTCGTGATGCTACAGCCGACTGTGACATTCCTGAGTACTGTTCTGGTACCTCGGAGTACTGCCCACCTGACATAGTTGAGAAGGATGGAACTTACTGCAGAGGGGGAAAGGTGTGTAGATACACAAATATTATATATACTGTGTCTGGATGATTTTGCTTTGCTTATGGAGATTCAAGTGAAAATTCAAATTGCAGTTAAAATATTGGTTTAAGGTGAAAAACTTTGGTTCATTCATCATAAATTATATGTTTCACGATGACTATTAAATGTTGATAATTGCTCTTAGTAATGTAATTTAAATTTATATATTTGCCTTTAACATGCAAGCCTAGTTATTTGTTTGATCCCAGTCTGCTGGCTTCACACACTGGACAACAGCTAAGAAGCATGCGAGTCTTGCTTCAGTAGACAGACCCACATGGTGGAGACTGATTAAGTGACTAGGAGGCCGTTCCAGTAGTTAGTGATTTGGTGATTGACAGTATTGCCAAGCAATGGGTTGGATTGATTAATTCTCCGATATTTAGCACAATATGACCCTATAAGGGTTGTTTGAAAATTCTGTGCAGTTGTGTCTGCCTCACTAAAAGATCTGATGGTCAAGGACACAGTGACTTTACTTAAGGAAGCAGCTTCCATATGTAAGAGCTCAGAAAATTCTCTTAAGAATGTCCCTTGTCTGCCTACTGCCATGAACAGTCAGAAATTGCAACACAACTTGAGTTTGGGTGTCTTGGGTGGTTGTCAATGCTGCCTCCTAAGGGCACTTATCAGGTTTGACCAGGCTGGTAAACAAGCTGCTATGAAGCCTCACTTGTAGCTCACTTGTGCAGCTTGTCCTCCTCAACAATGTCCAAATGTTCATTAATCCAGCTGCCAAACCCCATTTATAAATGGAAAAACGATTGGTACATGACTCAACTGATGATGATCAAACATTTCAAACAAAAAATGCTCAGATCGATTCTCTGATGACCTCTGTTCAAATTAAAAGTCTGTAAATGCTTCACCCATGTATACTTCAAATACCAGTTTGTCAAATACCAATATCAAATACAAATAACAGAGCCTAAACACCTAGTTGGCATCCATCAGTTTCAGGATACTATGGAGTTGCTCTCTGGTTGTCGGTCTGGAGTGGCCTCTCCAGAGTGCAAAGCCAGGCTGGTTGATATGGAGCAGAAGCTGTTACCCAAGCAGCAGGTTCCCCCCTCTCTACGGTGCCGAAAGTCCCCAATGGAAAGGCAAACGCCAATACGATTGATTCCAGCACCGTCGCAGGAACTGTGAGCTCCGGAGTTGACCTCGAAGTTGGTGAAACAGGGACTCCAAACCCCGGAGACCACCATGGCCGGAGAAGAACCACTCCATCAAGGGCAAGAACAACCCCAGCCTCCTGAAGCAGAGCCTGGGCTGCACGAGCCCCAGGAGGTGGATGTCCCAGTCCCACACCTATGGGTTCCAGACAGAGATCGTCACAGCCCTCTTTCACCCATGACCGGCTTCCTTCAAGACAAAGCAGTAGGAAGAGTGATAATTATTAAATACAGCAATTATTATTATTATAATAATTATTGCAGGTGCAGGAGGTGCAGGATAAACAGGGGAAATGAATGACATGGCAGATAACGATGATCTGCCATGTCATTCATGCATGATGAATAGCAGATAAGAAAAATCCTCAACTATAGGGGGGGTTTTCCAGGGCAATTGGTCCTTGCGCCTCTCTGAGGGGGCCAGGTTCTGGTTTGTGGTACCCAATAGGCTGAACTCCATAGACTAATGGCCCAGTCTAATGATTCGCTCCCCACAGAAAATAATCATTTCATAGTCTCTTGTATACTTTTTATTGTTTTATTTTGTCTCACATCATTGTTTTGGCCAAGCAAAACCTGGTTCTGAATATTTTGTTAGTTGAGTATGTATCTTTTAGGTTTTATTTATAATATTTCTTCAAACCGATTTAAATTCAAAACTTTTTAAGTGTTATAATAAAGCTTGCTTTGTTTACTCATTGAATTATTCATGAGCAATGTGTTTACCTCTATTATTTATGTAAGCATTTTATATTTTTTTCACAGGGTCACTGTTATAAGGGAGAATGTGGTAGTCATGAAGGCAGGTGCCAGCAAGTATGGGGTGCCAGTGCCTTATCAGGTTCTCCACAGTGCTACACACAGATTAACCAGGAAGGTGGACCCTATGGCAACTGTGGCCTTTTGGATTCAGATGGCAGTGCACTCCAACCTTGTTCTCTCCAGTTAGTATATACGTTGGGGAGTCATGCTAGGGGTCCACCAAGCGTCACGCCGGCTTGTGGTGGTGGGTGGGCGATGGTCCAGTTTGCCCGCTGTGACTTCACAGATTCACGGCCTATTATTCCTATTATTTTGAATTGCCATAAGGCTGGAATGTTCATTCTGTGCTTTTGTTTTACATATCTGCACAATCAAGAAACATCTGTGCACCATGTTGGCTCCAAATGCACCCATTGCGTCAGTGATGGCTGACTGGTGGGTGGATGGATGATGGAACTTAGGTGGGAGGCAGTATGAATGAGGGGGGGGGGGAGAATCAGTGAGAGAGGGGGGGAGAGAGATGCTAGGAGGGAGGGGGAGGTAGGGAGAGATGTTAGGAGGTAGGGAGAGATGCTAAGAGGGAGGGGGAGGTAGGGAGAGATGCTAGGAGGTAGGCAGGAAGGGATGGAAGTAGTGAGAATTAGGGAGGGAAAGGCAGGCTGGCAGGCACAGGCAGGCAGGCACAGGCAGGCTAGCTTGCAGGCAGGCAGGCTAGCTTGCAGGCAGGCAGGCTAGCTTGCAGGCAGGGAGTGAGTGGTAGTCACGCGGTTGAACCGCGTGACCTTGAGAGATGGGATGTAGGGGGGCGGGTGGTTTGTTGGTGGTGGGGGTGAGACCGGCTCATTCCGAAGATAAGCCTAACACACACTACCCGTTAGCATGATGGCAGGGGGGGAGGCAGGCTGGCTGGAAAGGAAGCAGGCTGGCAGGCAGGCAAGCTGGCAGGCAGGCTGGCTGGCAGGCTGGCAGGCTGGGAAGGAGGCAGGCTGGCAGGCTGGGAAGGAGGCAGGCAGGCAGGCTGGGAAGGAAGCAGGCTGGCTGGCAGGCTGGCAGGCTGGGAAGGAGGCAGGCTGGGAAGGAGGCAGGCTGGGAAGAAGGCAGGCTGGGAAGGAGGCAGGCTGGGAAGGAAGCAGGCTGGCAGGCTGGGAAGGAGGCAGGCTGGGAAGGAAGCAGGCTGGCAGGCTGGGAAGGAGGCAGGCTGGGAAGGAGGCAGGCAGGCAGGCTGGGAAGGAAGCAGGCTGGCAGGCTGGGAAGGAGGCAGGCTGGCAGGCTGGGAAGGAGGCAGGCTGGCAGGCTGGGAAGGAGGCAGGCTGGCAGGCTGGGAAGGAGGCAGGCTGGCAGGCTGGGAAGGAGGCAGGCTGGCATGCTGGGAAGGAGGCAGGCTGGGAAGGAGGCAGGCTGGGAAGGAGGCAGGCTGGGAAGGAGGCAGGCTGGGAAGGAGGCAGGCTGGGAAGGAAGCAGGCTGGCAGGGTGGGAAGGAGGCAGGCAGGCAGGAAGCGATATATGGGTGTTGAAGTGAACTGTGAACCACGTGACCTTTGAGAGTGTGTGTGTGTGTGTGTATGGGTTTGGGGTGGGGGGTGGGGGTGGTGTGTCGGTGGTGGAGGGAGAGGGGGAGGTGTGTCGGTGGTGGGGGGAGAGGGGGAGGTGTGTCGGTGGTGGGGGGAGAGGGGGAGTTGTGTCGGTGGTGGGGGGAGAGGGGGAGGTGTGTCGGTGGTGGGGGGAGAGGGGGGAGGTGTGTCGGTGGTGGGGGGAGAGGGGGAGGTGTGTCGGTGGTGGGGGGAGAGGGGGAGGTGTGTCGGTGGTGGGGGGAGAGGGGGGAGGTGTGTCGGTGGTGGGGGGAGAGGGGGAGGTGTGTCGGTGGTGGGGGGGGAGGGGAAGGTGTGTCGGTGGTGGGGGAGGGACCGGCTGACTCCGTAAGCCTAACCACACTCCACAGACCTGTGACCCAGATTTGTTTCTTAAATGTACAGTACATCATCGTATATTTTAGGCAGGATGTGCCTGCAGGCTGGCAGGAAACATCCAGAGGATGTTTGCCAGGCATCTTAATAATCAGTTAGTTTCACCCATGACCGGCTTCCTTCAAGACAAAGCAGTAGGAAGAGTGATAATTATTAAATACAGCAATTATTATTATTATAATAATTATTGCAGGTGCAGGAGGTGCAGGATAAACAGGGGAAATGAATGACATGGCAGATAACGATGATCTGCCATGTCATTCATGCATGATGAATAGCAGATAAGAAAAATCCTCAACTATAGGGGGGTTTTCCAGGGCAATTGGTCCTTGCGCCTCTCTGAGGGGGCCAGGTTCTGGTTTGTGGTACCCAATAGGCTGAACTCCATAGACTAATGGCCCAGTCTAATGATTCGCTCCCCACAGAAAATAATCATTTCATAGTCTCTTGTATACTTTTTATTGTTTTATTTTGTCTCACATCATTGTTTTGGCCAAGCAAAACCTGGTTCTGAATATTTTGTTAGTTGAGTATGTATCTTTTAGGTTTTATTTATAATATTTCTTCAAACCGATTTAAAATCAAAACTTTTTAAGTGTTATAATAAAGCTTGCTTTGTTTACTCATTGAATTATTCATGAGCAATGTGTTTACCTCTATTATTTATGTAAGCATTTTATATTTTTTTCACAGGGTCACTGTTATAAGGGAGAATGTGGTAGTCATGAAGGCAGGTGCCAGCAAGTATGGGGTGCCAGTGCCTTATCAGGTTCTCCACAGTGCTACACACAGATTAACCAGGAAGGTGGACCCTATGGCAACTGTGGCCTTTTGGATTCAGATGGCAGTGCACTCCAACCTTGTTCTCTCCAGTTAGTATATACAGAGCACCACTTGGTTTCCGAACTTTAGTTATCCGAAACTTCCAGTTTCCCGATTGGGGTTGGGGAGTCATGCTAGGGGTCCACCAAGCGTCACGCCGGCTTGTGGTGGTGGGTGGGCGATGGTCCAGTTTGCCCGCTGTGACTTCACAGATTCACGGCCTATTATTCCTATTATTTTGAATTGCCATAAGGCTGGAATGTTCATTCTGTGCTTTTGTTTTACATATCTGCACAATCAAGAAACATCTGTGCACCATGTTGGCTCCAAATGCACCCATTGCGTCAGTGATGGCTGACTGGTGGGTGGATGGATGATGGAACTTAGGTGGGAGGCAGTATGAATGAGGGGGGGGGGGAGAATCAGTGAGAGAGGGGGGGAGAGAGATGCTAGGAGGGAGGGGGAGGTAGGGAGAGATGTTAGGAGGTAGGGAGAGATGCTAAGAGGGAGGGGGAGGTAGGGAGAGATGCTAGGAGGTAGGCAGGAAGGGATGGAAGTAGTGAGAATTAGGGAGGGAAAGGCAGGCTGGCAGGCACAGGCAGGCAGGCACAGGCAGGCTAGCTTGCAGGCAGGCAGGCTAGCTTGCAGGCAGGCAGGCTAGCTTGCAGGCAGGGAGTGAGTGGTAGTCACGAGGTTGAACCGCGTGACCTTGAGAGATGGGATGTAGGGGGGCGGGTGGTTTGTTGGTGGTGGGGGTGAGACCGGCTCATTCCCGAAGATAAGCCTAACACACACTACCCGTTAGCATGATGGCAGGGGGGGAGGCAGGCTGGCTGGAAAGGAAGCAGGCTGGCAGGCAGGCAAGCTGGCAGGCAGGCTGGCTGGCAGGCTGGCAGGCTGGGAAGGAGGCAGGCTGGCAGGCTGGGAAGGAGGCAGGCAGGCAGGCTGGGAAGGAAGCAGGCTGGCTGGCAGGCTGGCAGGCTGGGAAGGAGGCAGGCTGGGAAGGAGGCAGGCTGGGAAGAAGGCAGGCTGGGAAGGAGGCAGGCTGGGAAGGAAGCAGGCTGGCAGGCTGGGAAGGAGGCAGGCTGGGAAGGAAGCAGGCTGGCAGGCTGGGAAGGAGGCAGGCTGGGAAGGAGGCAGGCAGGCAGGCTGGGAAGGAAGCAGGCTGGCAGGCTGGGAAGGAGGCAGGCTGGCAGGCTGGGAAGGAGGCAGGCTGGCAGGCTGGGAGGGTGGCAGGCTGGCAGGCTGGGATGGAGGCAGGCTGGCAGGCTGGGATGGAGGCAGGCTGGCAGGCTGGGAAGGAGGCAGGCTGGGAAGGAGGCAGGCTGGGAAGGAGGCAGGCTGGGATGGAGGCAGGCTGGGAAGGAGGCAGGCTGGGAAGGAAGCAGGCTGGCAGGGTGGGAAGGAGGCAGGCAGGCAGGAAGCGATATATGGGTGTTGAAGTGAACTGTGAACCACGTGACCTTTGAGAGTGTGTGTGTGTGTGTGTATGGGTTTGGGGTGGGGGGTGGGGTGTGGTGTGTCGGTGGTGGAGGGAGAGGGGGAGGTGTGTCGGTGGTGGGGGGAGAGGGGGAGGTGTGTCGGTGGTGGGGGGAGAGGGGGAGTTGTGTCGGTGGTGGGGGGAGAGGGGGAGGTGTGTCGGTGGTGGGGGGAGAGGGGGGAGGTGTGTCGGTGGTGGGGGGAGAGGGGGAGGTGTGTCGGTGGTGGGGGGAGAGGGGGAGGTGTGTCGGTGGTGGGGGGAGAGGGGGAGGTGTGTCGGTGGTGGGGGGAGAGGGGGAGGTGTGTCGGTGGTGGGGGGAGAGGGGAAGGTGTGTCGGTGGTGGGGGAGGGACCGGCTGACTCCGTAAGCCTAACCACACTCCACAGACCTGTGACCCAGATTTGTTTCTTAAATGTACAGTACATCATCGTATATTTTAGGCAGGATGTGCCTGCAGGCTGGCAGGAAACATCCAGAGGATGTTTGCCAGGCATCTTAATAATCAGTTAGGAACAATTAAGGACTTTTATAAAGCGGATCAGGACTTCACTTATTGATGAGTACAAACAAAACACGGTCGCATTTACGCCATGAACCTGACGATTTTTTCCCTACAGTTTTTTTTCATAAATTTTTCGGAAAAATTTCTTTTTACATTTCTAGTTTATTTTTCCCCTCTATTTCTCGTATACGAACTTACATGTTAACCGACGGGTCTCGTCCCCAAGGGGTTCGGAAACCAAGTGGTGCTCTGTACCAGATTCTTCATTTCAAATACCTCAACCA